GATCGAACAGTGGGGACAGCGCTCACGCAGCCGAGCACTGCTTGACGTGGACGCTAGCCGCAGATATCTAGCGAATCAAAGGGTTCGGACTTAAACTTTAAAGAAATGTAATGAATATTTGCATTAGGCCAGCACCTCAACTTGCTGTTTCGAGTTTAAATTGGTAAAACTGTGCCCATGTAGCTGACAACGGCGAAGAGAAACGCACACGGTACCATCAAGTGGTCATTAATGCAGGCACGTACCAAACATTTCGGAAAAGTTTTCTCCCTACGCGTGACCATACCCATAATTTGTCCGACATCTACACAAACCTAAACGATTGCCCATTCCACACGGGTGCCCACGGGTTTGTCGAGCCCGTGTAGTCCAGTATTGTCGAGCAGCCGTATTCAAAACTCTCTGCCCTGTGGAGTGCTTTAACGTGCTTCGCTCTTCAAAACACGATCACCAAGGGGTTCATTAAAATGCGTTTGCGCTGACTGCCTGTTCCTTCTTGGTGGATCTCTCTGCTTCAGCATAAAAACAATAAGCCTAAAACTCCTTGCCTTAATCGCCATGACATAAACATGGACAGGGAAAATCAACGTCGGAAACGAAGACACACAAGAGAAAGCTGCGTTGCGAGTGTTAAGATCGTCTACTGCGTGTTATTTGATCAATCAACCAGCCTCCTCAATAGGACGCATCAAACTACCCAAGACGTGTCAAGTTTTAGATTTTCTTCTATTGATGCTCATCAACCTGGCGATAGGCAGGGGCCGTTCAAAGACATAGTTAAGCACGCCATGAAGCTCTCTAAAATTTCACGCAGAAAGCAATGCCTGGCAGGTCCTTGTTTGAATGCGGAACATGTCCATGAACCGAGACAGCATTGCTTAGAGACAGAACCAAGTGCCTCCATGTTCGCTTTTCGTGTGCATGTGCATGAGGGCATCGTTTTAGGGAAAAATGCGAAAAGTAGCATTTCATGCAACCCAAAAAGTCACATCTGTTGGGGATATCAATAGCATGGATATTAAATGTGTACTGAATAATTTCTCAACACGATAGTGGCGCCTGCTATCATTACAATAAGCAGTCGCGTATTAAGAAGATAATTTGTCCAAAATTCTCAAGGACGGAACGCTACATTCATGTTGGGTACTATACTGACGAGCACATAGATGGTTTTTAGCCCTATGTTGCCTGACCTGTCTGCCGCAGAAGACTTGTAGACTGGCGGGTAAGTGAAGATTAGAAAAAAATTGACAAAACTAGACGTGTCCCCAATTAGTTTTCTTCTGATCTTCACCCATCCACCAGGCCACAAGTATTCAGTAGTAGACAAGTCAATTCAGTTAGGACTCAAAAGTCATCCATCTAGTCGCGCACCAGTTCAACTTTACAACCATTTTGGAAAGCGCATATTTTTGGCTCGATGCATGATCCTTAGAATTTTTATTTCACCGACCTGGGGGCCGATGCGTCTGTTAAAACTCCAACGAAACACAAAATGTCGTCGGATTTTTCCAAAGTGGTTGAGATGAGGTGTTAGTTTTATATATGAAAAAGTTGTTCGCGCTATCGTTCTCCGCTTGCGTGCTAATGTGTCGTCACCAAATGTATCTCAGGCACGTTTGTATCACAGCCTGGAAAAGTTGTGTTGCAGGTATATTGGGATAGCCGGAACATTCGATTGCTGCCACCTTAGATCCAACCGCTCAATGTCACCCGGTTGTCAGTAAAATTTGCAGACAATTTAAGATGTTAACACGCGCTCGGGTGGCCGGCTAGATACCCTTCGTTCGGGTGGGGGTCAATTTTACCCCCTGAGATCTCGGGAACTAAGAAAGCTAGAGACACAAAATTTACAGGGTGTGTTAACCTGTACGTAAGCTCACTTAGGTCAAAATTTTAAGCCCCTAGGTTATGACCTTTGGGTCAAAAAAGGTCATGCAATGTCAAGTACCAGGTTGGTCTCCAAAGTACCCCCATAACGCAAATAACCGTTTCTAAGCAAAAGGTCACATTGTCATTTAAGGTCAGTGACCTTGTTTGATCATTTGAAGGTCAAGGTGACCAAAATCATGCAACAATTGTTTTGAGTTTTGCATTTGACCAAGCGACAAAGATTACGCTAGGCAGCATGTTCCTAAAATAAAATCTTGACCAAGGCCATTTTACGTCAATGACCTATTCTGACCTTTAAGAAGTCCATGGAAGATATATAATGTGGTTCCTGCTATCAATAAACTCGAAATGAGCACCAAAAACTATCCCATACAGCAAACTCTAGAGTAATAAAACAGGTTGGGTTTAACCTTGGTGTGATTTGCATAACTGACCTTAGGTCAATGCAATTTGCTCATTAAGCTGTTGTGCTGCCGAAGCAAACATTTCACATATGTATGGCTTCGTCTAACACTCCGTTGTTGGATCAGATTGAAGGATTCCCTAGAAATTGCCTTCGCCTGAAGCCATGGTCTGACTTTGATCTGCCATAGGTCAGTGACCTCACAAGGTACATCTAAATTTTTGACGCCAAACGATCCGCTATTCAATTGTGTACAGCCAACAACAAATTGGCGCGGCTACGTTGTGCCGTTCGGAAACCATTCTGGAAAAACCTTCGGGAGGGAGGGGTCAATTTGACCCCCGTGCGAGCGCGTGTTAAGGAAGTCTCTGTCGACACAAAACTCAGGTTATCCCTAAAAACAAAGCGGCGATGAATAGCACAGGCTTTAAAATTGGCAGCAATCTTGGAATGAGCCAAGTGCTGACTGCACCTTCTTCTCCGTTACAATTGTTGCGGATCTTAACACAGGGAAGGATTCCATCCAATCATCGAGATGCTCCCACACCTTAAAACAGGGGGTTGCTCATCACGAGCCGGGGAGACTGGCACCCATAGCACCCGCCTGGCTACGGATCTGCGTTTCAGAGAGCCGCAGCACCGGATCAGAATGTCCTTGTACAATACGGCACCTTAGTACAGGGGTCGCTCATCACGAGCCGGGGGAACTGGCACCCGTGGCACCCGCCTGGCTACGGATCTATGTTTCAGATAGCCGCAGCACTGGATCAGAATGCCTTGTTTTTTTTTGGGGGGGGGGGGTAGCAGACCCCTCGCTGGCTTTGGAGGCCCGATTGTAAATCGAAAACATTCTGATCTGGGTTAGATTCGTCTATGGATTGGGGTCCCTTTTCTGGCACAGGAAGCTCTGTTTTCAGATAGAGAAACCCTTTGATGGGTCAGGTAGACCCCCATTAATCAGAAAGCCCCTATTCTGGGATTTTAATTGTCGACCATTCTTTATATGAATATTGATGTAATTTACAGTACAATTATTTGTGGATATTGTGACGAATGAATAATGGATACCCATGCGTGACAGTGCATGGACATTGTGTTCGATAAAAGATTACGTATCCTCGGTGTCCCCGCCCCCTTGAATGGACCACTGTTTAGGAGGCCCGCTGTAAGGAGGCCTTATTTGGTCCTGGGTGCACCCTGAACAATTCTGCTCCCGCCCCGGACTCAAAACTCGTGACGTCATTCCCGTCCCTGTTCACTTGATCGGGGAATTATAAGGCAGAACCTTTTACAGGGCTGTTCACGAAATGTAACACACATGTGACTTCACTCTGGTCATTTACGAGGCTGCATCTTTATCGCACGCGAAATCATCCGGGCTAGTTCCGCGGCATGACAAGAGGGCCTACAGCTCCTGCGCATCTTGGTCAAACAGCGAGGGTTTAGCTCGCCCAGTGTCTGCGGGCGCTTCACGTGCGCTCCTGCCCCCGTCCGTGTCCCAGTCGGTGCTCTCTGCCCCGTCGGTGCCTGCGAGCCATCCCACCTCATTATCTTCTCTCGGCTTATACAGCTCTCTCAGCGCACAAGCGCCGGAGTCTCCATAAATCTTCATTGCTCTCTGGTGCTGTTGAGAGATGATTTGACTGGCGCCAAACGGTCCCAGCAGGGGCACCATCAAGCGCAGAGCGACGCAAATGGTGCCGGCGCCACGGGCGGACATGGCCGCTAGCGGGCGGTGCGCGGTGGGCGGCGCCGCCGGGGCCAGGCGTCACCGGCCGCTGGCGACCAGCGTGGTGACGACGACGCCCGCTGTCTCGGTCAGGGTCCAAGTCGGCCGGCTCTCGTCAAGCCGTGAGTCAGTGTGGCGCCGGCAGACTGTCAAGTCAGTGTAGCTCTGCCGGAGTTAGAGTGAGGTTCGGTCTTGCCGCTGGTCATCAAAGGCTGAAGTTTTTTTTAGCTCGATAATTAGTCGGAGAAAGTGTGCCACATATGGGAAAACGGCGCTGCCTTAGCTTTTTAAAATTATTGTTACTTATCATGGAACTGACCAGATTGCTCTGTGATCTGAATGTTTGCATTGATGCTCTATCTTTTCAGCATGCGTAGTCCTTTCCTGCGCCTTGCATGCATACTTTGCGTGCACTTTGTCGGCGCGCACAGCCTTTGTTCGGCGCCCTCGCTCTCCCACAGAAAACAAACCGATTGACATACAACAGGCAGAAAAAAGGCGTTTCTCTGTCTATTCTATCGCTAGATTTGATGAGCACGAGTACTGGAGCAAAATGGTGGCTTAACTGTCATGACACGGAAAGCTCTTCCTTTCCGTCGTCAGGTGAAAACAGCGTTGACGTACGTATAATGAGCGCAAGTAGTAAGCTAATAGCAATATATGAATTTATACATGTCGTAAATGAGTGCTACATATCAAAAACGCGAAAAGGGACACATTGAAGGTGGACATATCATTGACCGTGAATGGCCGTGTTTTCCGACACTATTCCGCCCCGTGGGTGGCATATCGATGTTTTCTAATCGTACCGTAATGATAATGGTCATTAGGCGCTCATCGATTCAGGAGGGCTGCACAGGACAAAAGCCTACATGCGCTGAATGCTGTCGCAGCATGTCTATTTCTGCATGGGCCGATGGCCCTAAGTGTAGGACTTAATCCCAGACAGCAAGAGCCTTTATCGACCCCACTCACAGTTCATGTCGATCATGACAGAGCTGGTGACGGGCGCCGTCAGGTTGGTGTTGGTGGCCAGGCAGGTCAGCATGCGGTGCAGGTCACTCCGGCCCAGAGACGGCACCGTGTACTGGCTGACCGTGTCCTGACCCTCCGGCTGAGACTGCGCCGGGAGTACGCCGGCGCTGGAGCGCCATATCACGCTGGGCCGCGGGGAGCCTGGGAACAGAGCACGGCGGCATCAACACATGGCCACCTGCATCACAGTGGGCCGCGGGGAGCCTGGGAACAGAAGGGGACATCAACACAGGAGCATCTGCATCACACTGGGTTCCTGGGGTCCTGGGAACAGAAAGCCAAGATGATAGCACAGGGGCATCAATAGGAAGTTTCGCAGTCCATGCGAACCTAGAAAATGAAAGGCACCTGCTACATTTACGTCTGCAGCGGCGTTCGTCATTTAGCATCATAGTCGCGCGTGGACGTTAAAGGGATGTGACAGATATGCTTACTAAGATGGTCCTCATTTGGACAGTGGACGTGGGCTGAAGGCTTTATGAATTGCATTTTCTCGGTTCAGCAACACGACCCTCTGCCCGGCTGAATTATGCCTTCAGCAGTTTTTTTTTTTTGCTTCCCAGAATAATTAAAACGAAACGTCGTTCCACTTAATTATCAATTAAGCTGCCTTTCTGGCTGTGTGGTGCGGATAAATGTGACATTTTCGCCGCAGGTTATTTAATCTTCAGGGCGCTGTCGAAATCAGGCCCACCCATCTCGCTTGTGATTTAACCGCGGCGGTCATGACGCACCACCGCCTGACTGCACTAATGTCGGGCCGCATAGCTCACCGCCTCCGTCCATACAAAGCCAGCCCCGGCGGCCCGATAATCCAATGACACTCCATCAGACGGCGCGCGCGCGGGGGAGCCGCATTCGTTCAGCTGCTGGCCACGTGTCGGCCGGCGGCCCGCGCCCGGCCGCGGGGCCGCGCGGCCCGCGGGCGGGCGAGCACACACGTCATGTCCCACAGACACCGGCGCCACTTGAGCCGCGCTCCGCTCCTCCGGCCGCGTTCGTCGGGCGAAAACGATGTGCCGCCGAGCCTGGACGGAAAGTGCAGCCGCCAGCCGCCATCACGGCTCGCAGCCGGCAGCCACGTCTGTGCCGCGGATAGCTACCGGACGTGGCGTGATGCCTGGGGCAGGCCGCCATCCGGCTCGCAGCCGGCAGCCACGTCTGTGCCGCGGATAGCTACCGGACGTGGCGTGATGCCTGGGGCAGGCCGCCATCCGGCTCGCAGCCGGCAGCCATGTCTGTGCCGCGGATCGCTACCGGATGTGGCGTGATGCCTGGGGCAGGCCGCCATCCGGCTCGGTTACACGACGGCTGTAAAAACCCAAGTCATGTGGTTTTAAACAATGTATGTAATACTCCAGCATTTTGCGACTTTTTGCGCTTTCTTATCATGCGCCCGGGTGGCCGGTTGAATAAATATCCTTCGCCCCGGGTGGGTGGGGCCAACTGACACCCGTGATATCTCAGAAACTAAAAGAGCTAGAGCATTATTCGCCTGATATATAAATAGGAAGGTAAAGCAAACTCACGCCACTGTGCATTTTCGTTCAGCTGCTATGGTAGGATTAAAACGCATGTGACCAATCAAATTAAGCATCCACAATGAATCGTTGTTGTTGTGAGTACATAATACATAACTCTGTTCCCTTCAGCGACACTTCAAACCATTCAGCATTTATTTGTTCTCTTGCAGCTGCACTCCAAAAGCGATCGCGACTGCGTTTTGAAACTGGTACTTCTCAAATTATTTAACAAAATTTGAGTTCCTCTCACTTCACTCAGAGACGAATCTTTCAGTGGATAATGTGAGCATGTCGCGGCGAATGACATGCTGTTCTCACAAATATCCCCTGCACCACCTTGATCATACCCAGCCGATGTGACAAGCGTAGGTTACATCTCTTTTTTGCATCCCGGCTGATCACATCTCGGCGAAGTGGGACTTTTGTAAGCCGCCAGTGGCGGACCCAGGAGGATTAAGGGCAGAAAAGGTTTTGACACCCTATTTTCGACATGAGCTGCGCCAAAGGAATTATGGAAACAACAACATTTAACCAGCTCAGGTTGTGGGACTTCATCTTAGTAGCGTCATTTTGATTGTGGACATGACGCAACATCATAGTCACGCCAAGGGACCTTCGGAAAACACCAAGAGCGAAATGGTATCATCAAAAAATGGCACGGGTTCGGTCAAATCGCGGGCGTAACAAAAAATCTACATCTCACTCTACCTCTAGCTCTACCTCGACGAGCTTGCTGAGGGTCGTGTTAAGGACTCCGCTCCGGTCCGCAGGGCCGGGCGCTCAAATTTCAGTCAGGGGCCTCTTGCACCCGTCGGGAAATCCGTGGGACGACGAGGGCCTCAATGTCGGCCAGAGAGTACCGATGCCCAGTGGTCGGTTCCGTGTCGGTCTGGGCCCTACTTACCCATTTCTCAAGCAAGGACACGACTGCGGAGCAAAATGGTCGGAATGTCTACAACAATGGTGAGCCCCCTGTGTCAGCCAGTGGCGCATATCGCCTGATACGGAAAACTGTGTCTGCCAGGGACTGCGAGTGGGCCAGGGGCACGTGCACTCAGCAAGGACGGAGACGGGATCCCGAGTGTCAGAGGACCTCTTGAGTTGAATGGGACACTCTAACAATGAGAGGAGATACGAGGCACCACAATGAAAGGGTTTACAACGACACAATTGGGGGGGGGGGGGGGGCGCTATGCCAGTCAGGGCCCAGTACCAACCTACAAACCCTCAGCGTTTCATTCACGAGCCCGGTAAGTCAATTTAGTGACCCTGTACTATTTGTTGGACCCTCTACACCGGCAAGGGATCCTTTTTACGTTCGTAAGGGGCCCCTGCGTCGATCCAGAGCCAACTGCCGCGGTCAGAAGCCTCCCTCGTCAGGGAGAGAACCGAAGTATGATGTATCATTCTTAGGGCCTCTGCATCGACAATGGGCCCCGGTCCCACTGTCGCCGGAATGACGGCCAGCAGGTGGCAGGTACCTCGGGCCGGGACGGAAATTGGCTCCTTAACCCCCGCAACCAAAAAGCATATTGTGTTCTTGGGCGCTCTACTTATCGGGCTTCCTGCCCAGAAGAGGCAAGGGCTTTCCTTAGTGTTCGATAAGGCGAATCGAAGCATATTAAACATTGCATTGACCTGGCCGATAACTACTTGTCTGACGACGTCACTTCATTTTTACAACAAATTAGTGAAAACATGGTCTGCGGCACGCACGAACGCAGCATGATCATGAGCGCAGCTTGGGGCACTCGTGATCATGAGCACAGCTTGAGGCACTCGTGATCATGAACACGGCTTGAGGCACTCGTGATCATGAGCACAGCTTGAGGCACTCGTGATCATGAGCACAGCTTGAGGCACTCGCGATCATGAGCACAGCTTGGGGCACTCGTGATCGTGAGCACAGCTTGAGGCACTCGTGATCATGAGCACAGCTTGAGGCACTCGTGATCATGAGCACATTTGAGGCACTCGTGATCATGAGCACAGCTTGAGGCACTCGTGATCGTGAGCACAGCTTGAGGCACTCGTGATCATGAACACGGCTTGAGGCACTCGTGATCATGAGCACAGCTTGAGGCACTCGTGATCATGAGCACAGCTTGAGGCACTCGTGATCATAAGCACAGCTTGAGACACTGGTGATCATAGGCAAGGCTTGAGACACTCTTGGTCATAAGCACCGTTTGACAGGTCGAGCACGGTCAATATAACAAATGTTTGTTCCATAACGCCGTCTAGTCTGTACCTCCTAGCATATTTAAGGTCGTTAAACCAGCATAGGCCTCTAGACTCATAAAAGAGCCTTCGCCATTACACCGATAGGTCGTAGTGCCGTAAACGCTAGTCCATTCCGAGCATCAATCTAAAGATTGTACAGCTGAGATGTACAACCTTTACGTAATGCGTCCATTATGTCCAGACTATACGTAATGCGATAGAATTGACTTCGTAGAGCAATCAGAACAATACGTTCTGATGCATTTTCTTTTTCATCCGTCCGCTGGCCGGCGCCTGGTCTTAGCTGCAGAACAAAGCGGCATGGCCTAACGAGACTGCAACGCCTTGCATCGGTGTTTTTGCTCCGAAAGATTGCGAACACTCAGGCTCAAAACTACAAGGGTGAAAACAGCTTTCGGTTTACCAGATATGATCGGTGACTAAAACTGATCCTTGCGAACTAAGTGATGAAAAGCTGCGAAAATTCAAACAAATTTCACTAGATCAGACCATATTACAACTTACTTTCTCAGCTAAACGAAACTCAAAGCTTAGTATTGGTCTGTGCTCGTTAACAGTTGCGACGTGGGCATATGTAGAACACAAGCCGTAACATTGACGTTTCGCTGTATGGGAAAATTGAGCCATAAGATGCTGCCAATCATAGTAGCTTTAATCAGGATAGTTTTTAGCAGGTGCCAGAAATATACAACAAAATATATTATATCAGTATTGACGTCACAGATCAGCGGTGACACGGTGCTTTTACAATAGAGCTCAGATCAGTGTTTTTCACAGATTGTTCAGCCAAGATTCACTTCATATACTAAGCAGCATAAAATACCAAATAACTAGGCATATTACTAGTCGTAAGGATCGTAGCTGGCCGCAGCATCTTGCGACGAACGTGACCAGTTCGCTACGCAGCGTTTTAAAGCGTCGTGCCATTTGAAACAGATGGGCTCGAACGCTCGCCATGCGGTGATGCGCTCGGTTCAGTGCAAGGCTGTGGGCTGCTGTTAGGTGTGTTCACGCCGTGAGAAGCTAACTGGTTGGAAGCACGTACCTAATTGTCAGCTTTTTAATGCAATAGCGTTAAAAGCCCTGCCGATTTAGGAAGATTGTTGTTTGTGGATATCTGGGTTGTAGCTCCAGAGGCAAACGGAGGAGGTTAAAGCGACACATGTTAAATATTCATCCGGGGTCTTCTGCTGCTTACAGTAGCAGCGGCTTTGATTTAAGAGACTGAACATCACTGTTGTGGCCCTCTCACATTGCCTGTTGCACCCCTGGCTTAGCGTACTGATCGGTGGACAGGCATGGGAAAAACGCTTTTTATTTTCATAATGTTGCGTATAAAACTGAATGAGGGTGGTAGAGGTGTTCAAAAATGTTGTTAGCATCTGTTTATACCAATATTGGATCATGCAAGAAAGTGTGAGTTCTGCACCGGTAACGATCACGCGAAGGTAGTGACGGTCGCCTGCGCGCTCAGCTGATTGTACGATGACGCCACAAAACCAAAGGTGATGTTGTCAGGTGCTTCTAGAACCACGTTTTCGGTAAATATAGGGCTACAGGCATGCAGTTTTGCAATATACGCAGGATTGAGGGATGGAAGGTGCGAGCAACAAAAAATGACTGAGCCTGCCTCCAAAAGGCATTCAAAACATTTTTCGCCACAGATTTGACCCACTTTCTTTTCACACTTGGGAGCCGGGGTGTACTTTCTCGACATTTGTTTCGGGGGGGGGGGGGGGGGGTAAACCCTAAAACCCTGTGGTTAGTGAAGAATGATGCTTTAAAATGATAACCAAAAAATAGGAAACCACATCCATGATTAGGAGGCACAATCCCGTCCTCATATCCGAACAGGAAACTTCATGCATACAAGCTGGTTGGGTCAAGTATGCCTTTATCTGATAATTGTATTATTTAAGTCGCAACCATCATTCAGTGCTTGATGGCTGGCAAATGATACTTGAATGCAAGTGAACTCCCGAAGCAAAAATGTTTGATGGCTATGCCGCATTCCATTAAATTTGTCTTTGTATTGTGATTTATTGCATCTAGATTTATATGAAAGTGGTCTATGAAAGATATGGCTCCAGGTGACAATTTAGACGGTTCCAAATTTCGTCGGTGACAGAAAAGGCACTTTCTCACCCTTGCAAAACTACTTCGAATATTGTTTTCACTAGTTGGTTCAGAAAAAAGTAAACGATGGTTGGCCATATGTACAGCAAATGTTGAACCCGCTTCAGTGTGCCTTCGTGTTTAATCCACAAGGTTACTCACCACCTATTTCAAACATCGAACAATTCGGTAACCCTGCCTGGTATCGGCACAGCGAATGAAAAAATAAACAATGTAAAATGGACAGCGCCGGCAGTACGCTTGATGCGGTCATTTCGTGCCCATTTCACTCACCTAACTGACTTTTATGGCATTTTCTAGAAGCTCTGGCTCCTTTGTTTCAAATAAAACCCAAAACTTTAAGGAAATTTCCCCTCAAAATAAAACCAACCAATCCAGTAAACATTTTTTATGGGTGGGGCTATTGTACTAATAACCCTCCCAACGGACCCATCAAACGGACCCATCCAAGCGACCTTGACGTCACCAGTTGACACCAACAACTAGGGAGGGAACTTTCAATGCTTCCTAATGTTGTGTAAAACATGACGTTTGTCATTCAGTCGCCGCCTGCGAGTATTGCAAGTGAAATAATGCAATTGCACGACCCGTACGTTGCCAGTGTCCAGCAGTTGTCATTCTTATTTAGTTCATTTATTCGCTGAGGCGAAAGAAATGAAACACCGTGACGATCGAATATATTACTCGAGCTTCTTGCATTGAGGAACGTTAGAGAAACCACACGTGTTGAGCGAATAATAATTTGCAAAGGATGCAATGAAGGGACTCATGCAATGCAGCTTCGTAAAGCGAAGCCTGCTGCTGCAGTAAAGCAGCCCACCCAGTGCTTCGCGGAGTGTGGATATTTGAGCCCCTGGAAGGCCTGGCAGCGCAGGAGCATTGGAGCAGTGTTGACAAGTGGCAGCGACGCTAATTAGGGAAATATGGCATTTGTAGTAGCAACAATCACGGCTTCCTTCATGCTTTTGGAATGTTTTTTGGAAAGCTTTGGAACAGCTTTTAAAAAAGCTGTTTCAAACAGCTTCTTTTAACAAAGATAAAACCAAATAAAAAGCAACAAACGATTCTTTTTTAAAAAGGTGTTCAGCTTTGATTGGAGTTTTAAAGTGGAATAGGCTTTTTAAAGACCTTTTGGTGCAGTTCACAGCCCTGCCCTTTTTCGGACCTAAGCCACTCTAGCTTTTAAACTGCAAAGCCGCAAAAATGGGAAGAGCATTTCGGGGAAAGTATTGTAGTGTCATCATGGCATCATCATATAGTCATTCAAATTCTGCCATTTCATAAGTCATGCAGCGATTAAGGCCAGAAAAAGTATTATGGTCGAGTCTTTCATAACTGGCGTTCGTTAGCGCGATCTCAAGATATAACGTCCGCCAAAATTGGCTCCCATTCCATGTTGTGCAAGGTACGAAGAGGTAATTAAACAATGACGTGTTAAGGAGCATATTTACAAAACAGAGAAACTGTGGTGTCTGTAGCAGTCTCTTCTACTTAGAAGTATGCCAATAGGTATAAGTGGGCTTATTTCATCATATTTGATGCTTTTTCAACACCTTCAAACAGAAACGTTCCCTTTAAGACCTAAGCGAATCGAGTTTCTGAGCTACACACCCACGAATATGTGCAGATTATTTTGGGGAGACTATTTCAAGACCACTCATGCATCTATGGCGTCATCATAACCTTGGTCCAATTCTGTCATTCCGTCAGCCTTGCGGCAAGCAAATCATCAACATGGTTGATGGCGTAATGACAGAGTGATAAGCAACTTGGTCTCCCACGTGAGTGTCCGGGGGCTCATGCTGATAGGAGGACGACGCACGTCGCGTTCCTTTCATAAAGCGAAGATAAAACCGTACCTTGGCAAACCGTCGCTGCAGGTGCAAACATTAGCTCAGCCACACATCGCTTGCAACGAACCACGAGCACACTAATTAGGGATCCCTACGGATGGCTCAGGTTGCAGATGGAATGGGGTTTAACAGGGCTTGAAACTCACCTCCTTTGACTCGACAATTGAGCTCCAGCCTGTCTCCCTCGCTGAAAGTACCCGCCACTGTGTCCAGTATTCGGCCTTGAGGGTCGACTATTCTCACGTGTTCTGGAGCGACTGGGGTAAAAAAGAGCGGCCAGTTAGTTATCAATGACAGGCTGCTGATACACTATTCATATTGCTACATGAAAGTGTCGGACCTCCAATCTGGCTGTTCTATCCACACACCCTCGCTGCAAAGGGCGAGACCGGTTCTCTTTCTGGCTCGCACCGTGTCGCTGTCCATGTAGATACACATGATTGCAGTAGCCGACAAAAAAGAAAACCACACAAATGTTCGACTCCCCGCATATTTCACTGTCTGGCAGCGCCTCAGCCGATGCGGTTTTGTTGTATGTCCATAGGGCCAGATGTTACGCAAACCAATCCATAAGTATTCCTTGATTCTGAATGTCATATTCAACTAGTCCTTGGCTGCCTTGGCGTAGAAACGAGGTTGCATAGCCTGGCAAAAGGAACGCGGTTTTCGTTAGCACATTCATGCGCCTTGTGTTTTTCATAGTGATAAAGATTGGACCAGCGATAGGTAACAGCATCCCGCACGGACAATGAATTGTGTTCAATGCAAAAGTAAAAACCTTAAGCATTAATATTAACGGGCTACGATCCATTGATATTTTCCGTCCTCACATGAGTATCTGTAAAAAGGTTAGCGTATACTGCCACCGGGATTTGATGCCGCAGCCAGCTGCTGGGGCTATATGGCGTTGCCGGTCTCTCGCCCTGTCAGAAAGGGCGGGGCCATAGGAAATCGAGCCCCGTGCTTCTACAATGAGCCATTCTCCTGGTTTCCCAGACGCTTGAACTCAGGAGCCCCTCCGCTCCTCCCCCCTCCCCCCTCTCAGGATCCTGGCTCTCACCACCCGATCTGAAATCCCAGGTCCACGGCAGAATTTTGTGGCGGAAGTTTAACGTGTTGGAATGCTCTGCACGATTCGTCCAGCCCTCTGACACCACCTGACCTTTCGTGTACCCGCTGCCCCCGACCGTAGTACATTCCAGTCAAAGACAGGTGGCGAGCGCCTATGTGACTCGAATCCACCCCTCCGCGGGTGGGTGCGCCCCGGGGCAAACGCTGTAATCTACTGAGCTACCGAAACGGCCAAAGTTGGGACATCATATTCATTCGAGTATTCACATTGCCCAAAAGCATAAAAGGACATGTGAATGTCACCACATCTCTTTTCCGTACACTTGAAAGTTACGCGACGGAGCAGAGTTCAGAGGACTTTGCACCGTGAGATGGAGCAACGCGCGGACCGCAACATTCTCGACGAGTCCGGACACAGGACCCTCTCGGGGGTCGAGGGTCACTGCGGCTTCCTCTCCAATGATCGCACATTTGCTGGTGTGTGATCATGTCGCCCGTTTTTTATGCGAACGACAATCCGCAGTAATCCTGCAATTCCCCAACTAGCCGGTGGGCACCCTCACCTATGACGGTTAGGTTGACCAGGGCGTTACGAGTGCGCGAGTGCTGGAAGTCCACCCGGCACTTGTACAGGCCCTGATCTTGGCGGCTAATGTGGCGCAGCGTCAGCACGGCGGGACGTCGACCTGGCACGAAGTCCACGCGCGACCCGAACACCGAAGTGTTGTGCCACTTCCTCTTCTCCTCCAGCCGGTTCCGTAAATCATAGCTGGGAACAGACGAGTAGGGGCGCTGAGTCAACGTTGGGACCTATGGGTAGACCCGCAACCAACAGGCTGAACGTATGAGGCATCATTAAAGGCATAATTGTAAGGCACAATGATCATTACATATGGATAAAGTGCACACAATGTATAATTCAAGGCATAATTGTCTCTACTTCTTGTTTGTAAGCATCATGGCCTAAGTAACTGCTCATATTTTATATACGGTATGATGCAAATATGATTAACTCAGTTTTATGGACAGGTTGAGACAGATTTTGTGTACCTGACTGAAAAATTATTCAGACCATCGTCTTCGTCTGATGTTAGCTTGTACCCAACGTCTCAGCCAGTGATCTATTCGGTCGTTGTTATGTGTTACGGAGCCCTGAGAAGGACTTAATGGTGCTTAGTCACAGACACATTCGCGTCATAAGTCGAATTCTCTGCTTTTGAATTCCGGGGTTTCGAACCAGGGTCTTCTTGATTCCGAGTCGTGTTCTCTCAAGATGAGCACTTCTCCTTCTCCTAAATGAGCCAACTGGGAGGACAGTTCTCTGGTCTTCGTTTCAGCGCCACACCAGACCTCACAGTCTTACTCCGGATAGTTGCCTTTCTATGCTCTCCCAGTCTAACTGACAGAGGGTGATTGTCTCTTCCTTTTGGGACCTGTCACGGCTACATGGCATGTTACATATGTAGCTTTTTGTGTGGTGTTTATGTGCCAGTGGTCTAACTTTGGAAAGTTCTGTTCGCATCGTTGAGCTGCTTCTAAAGACTACCCTGGTGCATCGTCTACGGATTATTCTGATATTTTCTGACAAGCCCACGCTGTACCGGTAATGTTGTCGTCGGCGATGGGATTTCCTGCGGTAGCCCTGCTTTTCGAACATGTTCTTTGGGATTCCCGTCTTTGGGCTTCCGGTCTACAGTCATGAAAGACATTCACAGAAGTCTTCTGCATCGCGGAAATGTCATTAGCGACGATGGTGCAACTACTAGGAAGGAAGTTAACCACCCAACCGAGACGTTTCGCAAAAACGGATGCCCGAGAGGCTTCATAGACAGGAAGCCAAAAGAGCATGCTCGACAAGCAGGGCAGCCAAAAGAAAAACAATAGCGACGATATCATTATCAAACCGCAAGCGTCCGCCAGGACAGATCAGAACAATCTGTGGACGCTGCAGCATCAGGGCAGTCATTAGAAGAAGCTCAACGCTGCGGAGAGAGCCTACCAAGGTCGGACCACCGACATCTAAAGCAGCACACAATGAACTGCATGTACAACATCCCGTGCAGCTGCGGCAGGTCCTAAAAAGAACAGATAACTCGCCCTCTGACGGTCAGACTGGAGGAGCTCAGAAAAGGTAAGTCGCCCTCTGACGGTCAGACTGGAGGAGCTCAGAAAAGGTAACTCGCCCTCTGACGGTCAGACTGGAGGAGCTCAGAAAAGGTAAGTCGCCCTCTGACGGTCAGACTGGAGGAGCTCAGAAAAGGTAAGTCGCCCTCTGACGGTCAGACTGGAGGAGCTCAGAAAAGGTAAGTCGCCCTCTGACGGTCAGACTGGAGGAGCTCAGAAAAGGTAAGTCGCCCTCTGACGGTCAGACTGGAGGAGCTCAGAAAAGGTAAGTCGCCCTCTGACGGTCAGACTGGAGGAGCTCAGAAAAGGTAAGTCGCCCTCTGACGGTCAGACTGGAGGAGCTCAGAAAAGGTAAGTCGCCCTCTGACGGTCAGACTGGAGGAGCTCAGAAAAGGTAAGTCGCCCTCTGACGGTCAGACTGGAGGAGCTCAGAAAAGGTAAGTCGCCCTCTGACGGTCAGACTGGAGGAGCTCAGAAAAGGTAAGTCGCCCTCTGACGGTCAGACTGGAGGAGCTCAGAAAAGGTAAGTCGCCCTCTGACGGTCAGACTGGAGGAGCACAGAAAAGAAGCCATCCGGGGCGAGATTCTGAAGTCTGATGTTGCAGAACATGCGTGGTTAGATGGCGATCACCAACCAGCACTGATGCAACCGCCTCGACAGAGAGCAACACTGGAAAGTCAGAAAGATCAAGGAGGCAGTCACGGAGCATTGGCTGGTAATCCCATCAGTAAGCCAAGTGAAAACTTCATCCGACCATGGCACCCGATTCTGCGGAAAGGTCACCAAATATCTAGGAGATAAATAGTACGAAGTTCTGACACAGAAAGATTACTTTTCCCGTTCGGATCAGTTGGTGAGCGTTTGATCCATCATGGAGGAGACAAACAACGGTGACAAAAGCGAGTGCAATATAACTCGCACCCAGGAATCAGAAAATGTCCGCATTGAGCGGAACCACTTGAATCAATGTTGCCATGTGTCACACATCTACTCTCGCTCTGATTTGATCTTTTTATTACGCGGACTAATAGAAATGTCGACGCGACTCTCCACACCGTTTACAAATAGAGCGGTATAGTCTCACAAGAAAAAAGCAGCGGGTTCGTCTCAAGGAGATCTCATGATCGGCGATAATTTCTATTGAGCACACTGTGATGCCGGGCTCCACAGCAGTGCCGGCCCGCCGCGCGCAATCGAAGGATTCGTCGGCTGCCGCACGCCGGCCGCGCCGCCTGTAGGTCTCCGAGCGGTGTTCCTAAATAAAGTGGTGTCAAAAGGCGCACACTAAATAACCCAAAGGCTCCTGCTATGTTGAACACAAACATACGACACACCGAAGAAATACCACCAGAAAAACCTTATGGGAGCGGGCTGCCCCCCCCCCCCCGCCCCTTATCCAAGCGATGGGTGACCATCATTGTTATTCTATTTTATTTATCAGCGTAGTTTCTGGTCTGTTCATCAGTAATTGAATGCATGCATTCGAGAAAAAGCTCGGTACGTTTTGTTCATGGTCTCAGACAACGCCCTTCCAGGCCATCATGCAGTCATTGTGATAAATCATGGGCCCTTTTCTCCGCCTAAACTTTTATCAGTAAAGTACGACAGTGCTGCTTACAGCCCTGACCAGGTTTGTATGCTTGACATTCAGTAAATATAAAGTGCTTATCATGTGCTTCCGGTACCAAAGGGGCAGTTTCCAGCCCTATGTCCAGTGATAAATAGCGCTGCACATTCACTGCAGCGGGTTTGTTGTTTGATTGCCTACCTTGTCGGTAGTTTTTTTCTGTAATGAGCAATGATGTTCATTCTCCTGATATGCCTTTTGACAGTGCGACTTTCCGCGAGCCAGAGTCCTGATGAAATCGCACGAAATTTTGTAATGGCATTGTTAGTAGTGTCTGTAACGGCGGGACATGACATTCGTGATGCGTATGAACTTAACAGGGTTCCACTAACAGAAACGGACGAACCAATCCCAATGAATCGCTGGTAGCTGTGCGTGTGCTGCTGTCGCCCGGCGGCCGGGACAGCCAGCGACACCATCACCCCGCACATTGACGCCACAGGGCCGCACAGCTGGCCTCCGTATCTTCGAGACGCCATGTGCGCCGTTCAGTGCAGGTGGTCTGTGGATCCCCGCACGCGGAGTGTCGTGCGCCGACGTCGGGGATCACCGAACAACGTGACATGCGCGCGATGGCCGCATTAGTGCTCATTAGCTATGCCGCCAAGGTAAGTCTGCTGGCAGTCAGTCATGTACACGTCCCTAAGAATGCGCTGCCTGCGTGATGGCGAAGCTTTGGCGATGATGATTACAGATGATGTTTAAGTCCTCTATCTCGCTAGCTACCGCTTCAAGGGAACGCTTCAAACCAATGCAGGCTGGTTCGACGCAAAGCGTATGAAAATCACGAAACACGAGACATGCTTTACGAGACATAATGCGTTCTATCAATTCGCACATTGTGCACAATAACGTCAGGTCAGAGTAAAAGAAAACGCTTCTCCGCCAAGTGTCACTCTATGACCAACTCCGAACATCGGCCACTAGTGTTGCATGATCTAAGCTGCTTGTTATGTTTAGGATTCGTTTATCTGATTCCAATGGCTTCTAGTGCTAGTACACGATTTCAGGATTCCTCTTTTCTTAATTAGGTCAGCGCAAACAAATTGCTGATGATGAGTTTCCCGCATCTGCTACTGGGGCGTCCTCTCCAGCAGGTGCATAGTAATGCGCCATCACGGAGATGTCACCGTCCAAAAAATGACGAATTTTGGAACCGACAGCCTCCGAGCGGACATTTTGGTTCACGGGCTTACACACTGGTGCAGCAAGTCGGATTTGGCCCGCTATCACGGTGTATGATTACGCGGCTGCTAGGCGTCCTGCTGTTGCAGCAGAAAGTTGTATTTCGGTAATTTCGTCGGTCGGTGTGGTGCTTCTGAGCATGTCCCATTGAAATGTGTTCGACCTTGTATGAATTTTGACCTTTGGACATTAGGGTTCTATGGAACGAACAACAGTGGGCTGTAGAGCTAAAGAATAAACTGCAGTGAGTTGTACAGAATGGAATAAACAAGTGAGTTGAGTTAAGGACTTCGTAAGTTCGTTTTTTTGCGATCCAGGGCTAACATGATATCTTAATATACAGTGCAATACCCGACTCCCAGCATTATATTTGCATTTCAAACCGTGCATTTCAAGATTCACCAGGAGAACAGGGGAATGTGCTGAGCTGTGCATACTGTGCCGTTGGAAGTGGCGTTGATTACTGAAAAGTTGCTTGCGCCGTGTTCCAGTTACTGGTGCATGCTGAATCTCGCTCACGCTTTCTCTTAGGACTTCCATCCACAGCTAGGAAGTCACAAGGTTTGATGAGCAAATGTTTGACGGACCAGAAAACCAATTGGCAGAAGAAAATCAAGATTACGAGTGGTGAATAAGCTGACTAATGGAACAACGTTAAAAAGCTCTTTGAACTAGCAAATATCATCTGCCTGTGGAATAATTGAGGAACTCCTGCCTTTTCGGTCGCAATCGGACACGCCTGATCTAGTTACGTGGCAGTGTAATTAAGTTCTGACCTAGTTGGCATTCGTTCAGTCTTCTTTCAGTCTGTGAGAACGTTACACAAAAGAAC